AAGATAGATTTGAGGTCGTCCAGAAAGATAGACATTGTAATTGGTTGTAATTAACACAGTCAAAAATGTACTATAGCTGCGCTGAACAGAATAAAACCCGTCGTCGCTTGCTTCCAAAAGCCGTTTCGAGAAGAGCTGTAAAACGTAATCCTATAAGTAGGTCTTCTACTAGCTGAATCCTCAGTCAGTTTGGCTGGTAAGGCTGAGGCTCTGTGATCTTATGATCCAGATGACAAATTTTCATGTCTTTTTCTCACCTCTAGAATAGCCACTTGCGAAGACATCAAAATCGGAAGTATCCACGTGTCAATGGAGTTGAAGATTGAACGGTCAATTCTTGGTTGTTTGCTCAAAACCAACTTCCCCAATTTTCGCGGAGGCATCAATACGACAGTCATCGTCTCATCGGTCGCTGTTCAGAAAGAAGAGTAAAACATCGTCAGAAGTAATACAGTGATTTATTATTGTAATATTTGTTTTCAGACCTTAGTTCACTTATTCTTTTTATATGTTGGTGTAACAATAAAGAAATATCAAGCGGCAGATCGGTGTTTTGGTTTTTTCGTCCGTTATAACTAAGCGTTTCTGAAATCTTCAAGGAACAGCGTGGGCCCGAGCGTAGCGAGAGCTGGGCATTAACGGTTTATGAGACGTGATTGACAGTTTCTGACGATGGAAACAGATCTGGCGGATTCAAACAGTTGGTGAAAGTTTGGATAGTCGCCGTTCATTTTTCCTGGTGCCGGTCAAGTCCTCTTTGAACAAGCAATATCTGGAACTTTTGGAATTGGGTCAAGTTCAACAATGCCTGGGTCAAAGAAGCGTCAGAGCGTCTTGGATGCAAACAGGAAAGTAAGTCATGGTGAATTGTCTGTTAATTGTAACGATGTGTCTGATGTTAAGCATGACATGGTTGATGTTACTGTTTCGCCGTTCAGGGATAATAGGCACATCAAACTCCCTAAATTTGAACCACGGTGTTTTGATGGAAACTCAGCCGATTATTTACAATTTGTAAAGGAGTTTGAGATCATGTTGAGTGGTTTTCTATCAAGTGATGAATTGAAGTTAATGTATTTGATGAGATATTTTACTGGAGATGCTTCAAGAGCTATACAGTGCTGTGAGTTTATGAAGCCAAAAGAGGGCTACTACGAGGCTATGAGCATATTACGTCAAAGGTTTGGAAGACCTTCGATGATTGCAGGGAAATTATTCGAGGCTGTTAAGGGTAATGGTAGTCAACTACAAGATGACTCCCAGGCACTCACTGAGTTTTTAGATAACTTACTGATTTACAAGAATGGAATGATTTCGATGAATTGCATGAGTGACTTCAACTCGAGTTTTATACTAGAAGTAATAGCAAGACGACTACCTACTCGACTGCAAAGGAAGTGGGTGAAGATGAGCTCTCGTATGGAGGATGAGGGTATCGGGCCAAAGTTTGATGATATCCTGAAACTGGTAAAAGATAGAGTCAATCAATCTATGAGCAAGTTTTCCAGTCTATTAGATCTCACCCCTAGAATAGAGCAGTCTGAGAACAAAATGCAATCATTTATGACGATTAGGCCTCAGAGAGGTGGATATCCAGAAGGCTCCATGATGTCTAGTAATGCATATAAACTTAGTGAGTGCAACAGATTTCGTAGTACATCCCCAACAGATAAGTTACAAGATGCAAGACAAACACGGTTGTGTTTCACACGTTTGCAAGAAGTGCGTACAAAGGTGAACTGTGAACCAGTGAGCAAGTTCAGTGATAAGCTAAATGTAAACTCCAGGTCTGACTCCGAATTGTGTGACGATAACGGTGCGGTGAAGAAGTCTGTAGTTGCAATTAGTAAGCCATTGTTGAATAGAGTGTCACAGAATAGAGTTACTGCTTCAGAGTGCAGTTCTGACTCCAAAGGTTTACAAGGTATAACTAGTCAGAGCGAAGATATAAAACCTTTAAGGATTTGTGAGGAGGAACAAAAATTGTCTACTTCTGTTATTAAAGAGTTTGAAAATGATGAACTTGACGGTAAATTGAATATTTGTGGTAATGATCATGATAGTGCAGATTTGTCTTTGGTTGATCATGATGAAATGGGGGGAATGCCTACTACCGCTAAGTTAAATAAAGGTTCTGTACAACTTGAACGTGAAGTAGAATTGAATGCAGATGCAGTTGCAGAAGGCATGCATACTTGTCAAACCGTCAGTGTAATTGATCAGAGTGAAGCCCACCTATCATCAGATGCTAGTCCTAAAGCGGAGCTGATAGTAAAAGGCAGCAGTGGTGGTGGTCTTGCAGGTAGACAAACTTCTGAAAGCCGAGCAACAACAGCTTTTGATCCGCTGCTAGGTTCATCAGCTGATATCAATCAGTCGTCGTTGGTGCTGTCATCCACAGTGAAAATGACACCCATGAACTCAAGTATCTTGTGCAATGACTATGGTAGTATCAGTTCGTTTGAAAGGACGAATATCAATGGTCAGTTTAGTGAGGATAAGCTAAGTGTAAACGAGAGAGTAATTGTTAAATTGACTTGCACGAACAAAGGCATTTCTAGTTTCAAGTTGCTATTTGAATGTTATTATCTTTGGTGTAAATTACTCTGTTTCTACACTTGGTTGATGAGATATGTCGCGTGTTTGTTGGTGATCTATATTCTACGATACAATGACATGGGCGTGTTGCCGTTCAGATTTGAGGATATAGCTCATAGAAGGAAGTTAGCAAATGAACTCTGCGACGATTTTCCAACCTAGAGCGTCAACCTGAGAAGGGTTGTAGGCGTACTGCTGTAAGTCCTACAATTCTTCAAAGGGTAGCGCATCAATGAGCAGTCCAATGTGCTTGGTGTGTGATTTTGTACATATGTTCATATTGTATATACTGAATTGATATCATCTTTCATCTAACTGTTGGTAATTCTGTTTGTGTCCGGACGTCTTCCACTTGGATCATCAACCTGAGAAGGAATGTAGGCGTACTGCTGTAAGTCCTACAGTTCTTCAAGGGTAGTTTGCCGTGCCAGAATCCACCACATTCGATGTGTTGATTGTACATATGTTTGTGTTAAATAATTGTGTGAGTTCCAATTGATGTAATTGTTGGTTAATCTTGCTTGTGTCCGTACATTCCACAAATTACAATCGTCAACCTGAGAAGGGTTGTAGGCGTACTGGTGTAAGTCCTGCAATTCTTCAAAGGAATTCCACCAAGACATGATCCGCGAGGTTGTTTGTACTGTTTGTATATATGTGTGGTGTGTCATATCAATTGGTGTTTTTGGATTCATTGTGTTTACTCGTTGTTTTCTTCTCTTGTTGTTATTGCGTAATTTTGTTAAAATTTTCGTCGTGATTACTTCTGAAGTTGTTTCGAGTCTTCTACATCCATGAATGAATTGATTGATGCTAAGGACAGCAGAAGGGTCGTATACGCCAAGGAGGCTAGGCTATTGCTGAGAATGAGGCAAAACGAAAAAAATGGTAAGTGCGGCCCAAAACCCCGGGAAAAAAAAGGATAAATGACTGAGGCTCGCATACGTCATCGTTACTAGAACTGAGGCAGAATGAGTGACAAGCGATTGCAGTGATAGTTGGTAGTGAGTATATAAGAGGATGTGCGTAGAGTATCGTGAGGTGCGGCCATGGTCACTTTGCATTCTGCAAGAGTCATTCTAGTAAGTGGCGTTTGTGTTGCAAGATGTCAAGAGGAGGTCTCTGTCTGGAGGCGCAGGTCGTCATTGATGTGTGAGATTGTGATGTGGGTATGCTTGTGGTGTGTTGGCTTTTCTGTTTGTTTTCTATTTCAGCTCTGTCCGTGTGACCCAGGTTCTCGCAATGGCATCCAAGTCAACGTGTATTGGTCGTGAAGGTAAAAAGGGATGGATCCCTTTTTTGCCAGGGAGTGTCAATGAAGTTGAAGATTGAACGGTCAATTCTTGGTTGTTTGCTCAAAACCAACTTCCCCATTTTTCGCGGAGGCATCAATACGGCAGTCATCGTCTCATCGGTCGCTGTTCAGAAAGAAGAGTGAAACATCGTCAGAAGTAATACAGTGATTTATTATTGTAATATTTGTTTTCAGACCTTAGTTCACTTATTCTTTTTATATGTTGGTGTAACAATGAAGAAATATCAAGCGGCAGATCGGTGTTTTGGTTATTTCGTCCGTTATAACTAAGCGTTTCTGAAATCTTCAAGGAACAGCGTGGGCCCGAGCGTAGCGAGAGCTGGGCATTAACGGTTTATGAGACGTGATTGACACCACGATTGTAAGAGCGATTCTCAGATTAAATTGCGAACTAACGTAATCATCCCTCGGAATACACAATATCAGCATTATGTTATTTAAAGTGAGCTAGGTTTTCTGCAGTACGCTCTACCAAGAGGATTAAAGTAGGCTTAAGTCGTACCATCCTTAATTATCTGGAAACGGTAAACCATAGAGGTGAACTCAAATAACCAATTGCAACTTAACAGACATGCCAGTGGATTCCTGCAAAGCTTGTATGCATTCGTCAAGTCCTTCATAATTCACGATTTCAATGTGATGATCCTGAACCAGGGATTTTAACCTTTACTTCACTAAGAATTCTAAGTAGTACAGATTTTAGCCCAGTTAAAGAAAAATCTTCATTTAAATTGTGCGAACTCCACATGTACAATTTCATACTGAACCATATTTGCCAACATCATTAATTAATTTGGGTAGTTCAGCAGTGTGTTGACAGTTCTTTTCTTTAAACTATGTACTAAGTTTGACAGTCACAATTTAAGAATTAAACATCAACCGCTAATTTTTCTCATAAATTAGCTCTTTATTTGCCATCAGAACATGACTTAAAAATTAGAAAACTTCGCTGCCTTATGATTTGGAGGTAGAATTTACACTCACATTTGGTCACGTATATTTGTTTTAATGCATCATATTAGCTGTACTGACGGGTGTGTCAGGTCCAATTTGTGAAGCTAATGTGATAAGTTATAACTAGGTGGATATGATAAGGGAGACTTTCATCACTTTGGCAACAAATGATGAATACTGTGTGGGTGCATTGGTTTTGGGAGCTTCCCTAAGACAAACAGAAACTAAGAAAGAACTCACTATTCTCGTGACTTCAACTCTAACATCTAAAATGAGGTTTGTTTCATGGTAAAGTTGTCATTTATATTTCCTCAGATCACTTTTATCCTTGTACTACGATAATGTGATAGAAGTACAGCCGGTTGCTCCTGAGGACTGGAATAACCCTTTTCTTGGTAATCGCAAAGAACTAACTGCAACGTTTACAAAAATATGTGCTTGGAGTCTTGTCGAGTTTGACAAGGCGGTATTTATGGATGCAGATACACTGGTAAAGGAAACTCTTTATTTTATTTTGCATTTTTCTGAGGTTTATTTATGTGAATAAACTCAAATTTGTTTCTGTTATTTCACCTGAGATAGCATAAACCGAGTAGCCTGAAGATTGGAATTTTAAATGCCTTTCCAGCCAACTTCATTTTCATCATGTACATTTCCTGGCCTCAGAAGCCAGGTTATTTCAGACTTCATATCATAATTAAGTAATAAATGGAATGAATCTTATTGTTTGGTAGTAGAATAGAAACTTAATTCTCTCTTAGATGGGAAAGTGGTATGCTTTACATTGATGTGTGATGACAATCCAAGATAAGACTTTTGGTAATGATTTATTATCTTGAAACAAGTGTCGGTTACTCACAATGACCTTTGGATTTGAAAATACTATGAACTCTCTTATTTCAATTTCATTAGCATTGATTTAAAGCATATTTTCAAATATGAAGTGAGAAACATGAATGAAGGTTTAAGTGATATTCGTAGTATGTTTGAACTATATTATAGTGTTTCAAACAGCCATTTATTCATAATTAATTAGGCTACTTGTTAAGAATCTTTAAAAAATAAGTATATTGCAAGTGATAAGCCATAAGCTTTGGTATTTTTGGACAAATAACCTGTGATACATATGTTAGCGTTTTCTTTCTGGATACCTGAACTCACTATTATTACTCAGATGCTATATGCTCAAAGGCATGTGTTTATCTCGCTTAGTATCTTTCTTATAGTCAGCCACACTATTTCATTTGGCTTTCCAATGTGATTTCCCCATTAAACAAGTAAGTCAGAAAAGCTTGACAAAACGTCTCCTGGTTACATCATTTTCGAGTATTCAAGTTTAGGTGAGGCTGACTTTATTGTACATTTTATATTCAAGTATGATATTTCATTAGCATTTTACTATATATCTGGTATTTTAGTTGGTCCGACCTTTTGCTAAATGATGTACATTCTTTCATCAACCTGTAAACATTAAGTGTGCCTCATAGCCCAGTACAGAGTTACTGAGAACTGACTGGCTAACTTCATATTCATGAGGAAACAGAAGACTTTTACACTGCATTCTATTTGTAAAAAGCATTGAATTATGTAATATTCTTTCTAAACACTCATTTCATGGATTAATCATTACTTAAAATATTTAAAAATTGTCTGAAACATCATAATTTGTTTTGTTAAACGAATTTAGGTGCTAGATAACATAGACGAATTATTCGATAGACCAGAATTGTCAGCAGCTCCTGATACACTTTGGCCAGATTGTTTCAATGCTGGTGTATTCGTTTTAAAACCATCTATGGATATATATAATGGTCTTTTACAAATGTTATCTACAACTGGAAGTTTTGATGGAAGAGAACAAGTAAGTGCTCTTTTTTTAGATGTGTAAATTAATTCTAGTTAATAATATCATTCCTGTTATTATTATTCTATTCAATTTATAGCGAAATGTAGGACTTTAGCAGAATATACGCATTTCATTCTATCATGTGCATCGGTGGGATTGCGGTTAGGACGCTCGCCGACCATGCACATGGTTTGGGGTTCGATCCCCGGCCACAGACGCACTCCTTTACCTCGCTAAGCCACAAATAATGCTGGTATAGAGGAAAGGTTGGGCATGAGGCTGTAAAAATAAACACTGCTACAGAAATTTCAAGCCACTAGCTTGAGGCCCTATGTTCCACTGGAGAACGTGAAGGGAAAAAATTCTATCCTATAAAGTCATTTTTAGCTGATTTCATGATTGCGCATATTCTTTTATTTCTTCTACACATGATTTCTTCGCTGATACGCTCACAGTGACTCCCAAATCCTCGTATTCTACTCGACTTCTAATAGAAGGCTTGGTGCATGATGATATTCAACTGTCTCCACATCATACATAGCAACCATCTTCAATTGCTTCTGCATACTTGTTGAACGATAGGCTCTTGGTTGGTTCATTGTCAAAGTTCCTTGTTGCCTAACTACCTTTGACATTCTCATCCGTGCTACTGGCCTTTAGTAGACACGATGTTTAAATTTCTCTCTTTGATGGCTATTGGTACTTGCTGTTGTTGTTGGTTGGTTGGTTGGTTGTTGGGTACCTTCATCAATTCCTTCTTCTCAAAGTTCATTTCAATTCATGTTCACGATAACTATGCAGGAGTATACATTTCATGGCTGAACCGAAGTATTTTAATATGTTTATAAGCACTTTAACCACTTGTGCTTATAGCTATCAGGTTAGAGTTTTAAATTCTTCGAATGTGTAGTGTACACACTGTTGTTGCATCATATATACCGTGCTGGTTTTCCAATTATCCTATTACTGATTATGGGAAATTTATGACCATTTGAAGTGTCAAAACCAAGTTAATGGTCATATTATAAGGATAACTTCAGTCTATCAGAATTTCGACAAGCTAGAAGCTCATTTTGTTTTCAACCTAAGGAAGAGAATTCCTTTTATTCCTTTGACGTTTGAGTAGAACATTGGGCTTAAAGCCTTGAAGTTTTAGCAATAATTATGATTTTGTTTATCTTTCCAAAGAGAGGCTTACTAGGAATACTCCTCCCCGAAATCTTTCACATTTTTCTGGGTTACTACCGGTTGGGTATCATTTAACAATGAGTTGACCAGCAGTCGAGCCTAAAGAGATTGGTGTAGGTTACAGTTAGCATTGTATCTTTAGACCACCAGCATACAAGGTTAAGGATAGTCTGTCAGGTAAAGCAGCACCTCTATTAGTCTAATTATCTTAGAATTTCGTGTTTTGGATAGTGATATACTTTGAGTCACGTTCATGGGGGCGGCAGTTTCAGTGGTCGAAAATAATCATAGCATAAATACAACTTTGGCACATGTACCTTTTAAACTTTATAAACAAATGGGCTAAATTCACATGGAAACTTGATCATTTCAATAATGACGACTGAGAACAAATGTGAATTGCCACAATAAGACTATCATAGATACACTCGGTGTAGACTGAATGACTGACTGACTGACCAAATGGAGTCCTCTGGACAAGCAAGAATCAATGGTTTCAAACGGTCAGTGAATTTTAATTCTATTCTTTTGTGTTCCGAGTGGCACATAGGGCTTCAATCTACAGCTTTGACATTTCAGTAGCTGTGGCTTCATTTTTACAGGGTAGGGTTGCTAGCCTCATACCCAACCTTCGTTCTTTACTGGCCTTAATACCACCTTAGGGAGGTTTAGATGTGCGTTGGCCGGCGACCAAACCCCAGAACACGTGACATGTGGCTGGCTGGTGAACCTTCTACCTCTGAACCACCGACTGTGGGTGATATGATTCAAAATTGTTCTTAATGGTGTTTTGACCTGTCATATCCATTATTCTCCACATCAATGTTCTTTCTTCCGTATAATTCTATTAATTCTGCTTCATTTAAATCTCTATTTTCCTCCATCTTTGTTTGGCATTTATGGAGTATGGCAACTTAAACTACCTTCTGCTTTGTATTTTCTACAAAGTTCTACTTTGCAAACTCACTCAAACTTTGCAGTGGTCTATTTTCGACTATCAAGACTGGAAAATTTAAGAAGCTACTTCATTAATGGAAAGTTTTGTTTAAGTACTCACTTAGGGATTGTTACTTTTAGTAAGGCAGCCAATTATTGTGGGCTATATAGGGTAAATTTTTCAAAATCTAAGCCATTTAACTGTCAGGAACTCACTGATATCATCCTCGATGCGAATAATGTAGTCCTTCTGGTCCTTCTGAAGGTGCTTACATGAGTCTTCTGAACTGAAATCTTAGCGAGTTCGGTGTATGGTTCACTCTTTACAAAAACTTAAGGTGATACCAAAAAGGACAGATCTGTATTGACTTGAAGTTTGAGAGGTTGGTGTATACTGACTACTTCACTTATTTAGGAGGTTATATCAACGTTTATAACTGACCAACTCTTTGAGAGTGGATGAATAAGGATCTTTTGGTATTTGCATCATAGGCACGATCTCAGAATCGGTTTCCGAAGTCACCTTGACGCTGCCATATATAATGCCCCATAAATTAGAAGACTTACAGGTGAGTCGGTGGCACAGTGGTTAGGACGCTTGCCGACTATGCACATGGGCCGGAGTTCGATCCCCGGCCAGCAACACACTCCTTCAACCCGATAAGCTAGTAATAAGACTGGTAAAGAGGGAAGGTTGTGGGGCATGAGGCTAGTGACCTCATCCTGTAAAAATAAACACCACTGCTACCAAAACTTCAAGCCTCTAGCTTGAAGGTGCCGCCCTATGTTTCACTGGAAACGTGTAGGAAAAAGAAACAGGTGAAAATCAACAAGTTGACAGCTGAAGCAGCCATTGAAGACAGGACTCCAAGTGAAGATAAAGAAGACAAAGGCGACGAAGATAACCAACAATCCAACACCGAAGAGGCATCAACGACCATCAGCGGGAGAAATATGAAAGAGGTCACTTGCTTCATTTATCATCTAGAAAGCGTTGATTGTTTCAACTACAGACAGACCTTCATCACTATGAAATCGGTCTGAAAGTCCTCTTTATCGGATTTCCAATACAAATGCAAGTCATTTCTTTACTTGGATATGAAAGACTTCACCAGCACTTAACAAAAAGGCGTTTCAAACAGGGTACTGCAGACATTCAACAATGGCTGCTCCCTACTGAAGATCAGATGGCTGGCCAGAAAGAGTTAGCGGCGCAAAACTCTGAGAACAAACCAATCAAGGATCCACTGCTCAGCAAATATGCTGAAGGAAACGGAGACGGATTGGACAAGACTCTGAGGAAACCGCAGAATAACATCGCGTGCCAAGTGATTGTCCTAGTGGAATCTGAATCCGAAACGAAGAGTGAAGTATTGATCCGAGGGTGACATGGAGGAGGTGGCGTGAGCAGGAGATCATGGACTATGGGCGATCGTGAAGTCAGCTGATGAAGACTTCGGAGAGCAGGACAAAATTGAGGTGGGCTGTTGAAGCCATCTCTATGTTCCACTCGGGACCTATGGGAATAATAAATAAATAAATAAAAATAACAAAAAGTTGTTTATTCACTAATGGTTGATATTATTGTGGAGTAAACTGCCTATTCAGCTCTGCTAAGCCAATAATTCTTAACCCTGAATACATTTAGATTATATAAGTGTTCATGCCAATAACAGCGGTATAAATGTGGAGAGAAATCAATTTCGTCGATCAATTTATACGCTTACATAAGAAAAGAATTCCCAAATAAACTCCCTCACTTGTATAATAGATCTACATAAATACATTATTTAAGTAGGTCAGATCTTCTCATAAGTCAATATCTCTGAGAGAGAGAGTGAGAGCCATTGAAAATCGGAAAACCTTTGGTCAGATGAGTATCTTGGCTTGAGATGACTTGGTAAAATACACCCATAATACTTCCTGATATCGAATTGAGAGCAGTTATTATGCTATAAGGTGAGCGAATTCATCTAACAAGTAGACACTGTGTCATAATCGAATGACTCATAGATCCTCAATTCTATCAATTCATAACGTTTGATTTGATTGTATGGAGGATTTCACCATGAGCTGAAATCAGTTAGAGAACCACTGGAAAACCTGGGAGTACTGGACAGTCAACTGTTTCGTCCTAGTTTGGGACTCTTCAGCAGTACGCACCGGGGTTTGAACCCAGGACCTTCTGGTTACAAGGCGAGCTCGTAGACCATTGAGTCACTAGGACCGCGATACAATGGCCAGTGCATTAATTCTAACTTCTGCCAGTTCACGAAATAGCGCGACCATTTCGCAATGTCTTCTTCGATGAGTTACTGTCTCATCTTCGACCTGAAGTCTATTATTGAAATAATAGAGAAGATTTGTAGCTCAGGTGCATGATTCGCAATTAATAGTGTTCTCTGAGCTGGCTGGTCCAGTTGTGGAGCTTTCGTCGTCCGTCCTTCTGGATAACATCCCCTTTCAGCGCAATATTTAGCATAAAGTGAAATGATTTAAATTTTTCATGAGTGATAGAATTGGGTCTCCTGATAACCATCTTTACATAAGTGTATTTATCATTTTCTGTTGACTTGGATTTTAAACTTTCTCGTCATATGGTTTACTTTTTATTAGTTGGTACATTTGGTCTATTTTAACGTGTTTGTTAATTGCATATTCGTTTGAGTACCAGGCTTCTAGAAATTCCCTGAGTGCGTTTTTGGTGTTTCCTATGTCTAAAATTTCGACATTATCTCAATCAAACTGATGTTCATAATTGTCTATGTGCATTGATATGAAAGAATGCATGTCGTGTCTTTTTATGGCTGATTTGTGTTCTTGGATTCTGATTCGAAGGGGACGCCCACTTCGACGACCGATGTAATGCCTGTTACAGTTCATACAATTTATTTTGTAAATGGTATTAATTTTATCTCCTTTTTCTGTTGGATCTTTCGGTTTGCATAATATCGAATTAAGTGATTTGACTGGCTTGTGTGCTATATCTATCTCAAACGTTTTCAGGATTCTGGCTGTTTCTTGTGGTCTTTGATGATGGTTCCTTGTTGATGTTGTGATTCGATTTTAAACACTTTTTGATGAAATGATGAGGGGGATATCCATTCTTTTTGAAGAACGTTCGTAAGCATTTTTCTTCCATTCTTTCCAACTCTGGAGTGCTACAGTGTGTGTTTGAATTCTTTTAAACAATGTCTGCATACAGTTTCTTTTGTGAGTATTTGGATTATCGCTACTAGTATAGTTGAGTATTTGATCTGTGTGCGTTGATTTTCTACATACTTGTGTTTCTAAATTTCCTGTGTTAGTTCTCCTGATTAAGGCATCTAAAAATGGGATTTTATTATCTAATTCTTCTTCTGTATGATTACTGTAAATTCGTCGAATTACCAACTGCAATCATATTTGTTTCATCAAGGATTTGACTTCTGTGGTATTTCTACACAGTTCTGCTGCTGAAAGATCATAGACTTACATCGGTTAGACAATCACTGAGATTCAGAGAGTGCTGGACATATGTATTTTCCTGTTTTGGTACCTTTTAGCAGTTCGCTTCTACCCTATCATCGATAGAACTACAGACCATCAGGCCACAAGGCGAATCCAGTAAGATACACTAAAACGCTACATGAATTCTAATTCGTGTGAGTGTGTAGTGCATAGCTCTTCGATGAGTGTCTGTCCTCGCACACCAAGCTCCATGGACCTCATTGGGCACGGCTTCTCAGCAGAACCTGAGGAAAACTTCATCCTGTAGTCAGTTACAGATATGCACTCGATTAATTTTCATACATTCGGTTCACTTGATTAATTTTGTTAAGACCAGATTTACAGTATAAAATATGATATCATCATTCTATTTTACACAAGTTTTCATCAACTGTACACCACTACCTGAGATGATAATGGTTATCGATAATGACCAATGGCATACTTCAAACATTGTAAAATCAGCACGTTAAAATAAATATAAACATTACAACTTTTAGTTTAAGCTACTGCAGTTTACAGGGCTTTCAAAATAGAAAAGTAGACTGGGTATCTATTCAAGCAGATGTGCGGCTGACTTGACCAAGGAATACGACACCCCTGTATAGACGCTGTTTTAGTGTAAATTGTTGGAAGTCATTGATGAACCCAGTATACGTTTTGTGAATTTATTTCTGATAACTGGGAACAAGTACTAGTGAAAGCTACAGATACTTATTGTTTTGGTTAGAGACTGAATGGCTGGTTGTCTTAATCAGCTCAGTTTTACCAAAATCTATGGTTGGAAACAATTGGTGACATGGCTCAAACTCATCGTTCTCAGTGGCTAGCGCAGATGCATCCACTCCTTGTGACTTATGATCTCCAATGAAACTGTTTTGTTTTTCTTTATTACTCCTCCTTTGTCTCACACCTCTGCTCACTGTTTCTATCATGCTTTTCTTGTACTTTCTTCTCTTGCTTCGCGTGCTACACGGAGTGTGGTGACTTGAACTTCCGCACATTTTTGCAAAGTTCTATGTCGAAAACAGACAGACAGACGGAGAGACAGACAGACAGTTTCACCTAGTAGATGCCGGTTTAGAACCCTGTCTCGCCTGTTTCCACTTAAGGAACTAAGTAGTGTCACTTTTCCCTTCACAAGAAGCATGTGGCTCATGGCCTGTTGCACTGGGATTGTTATCACTTTTCAGTCGGTTGGCATTCATAGGTTTGTTCAGTTTAGTTGATTAGTTGTCACAAGATTCTACATCTATCCCATTTTTCAGTGTTACTTTTAGTACTAATTATCCCACTCATATCCCCAAGTAAAAGATTGTCAGTAGAACCAATGACACTGGTTAGTCAGCATTATGATAAATAAAATTTCCCAGTTTGAAGCCGAAGGTCCCGAAATGTATTTATTCTTCAACTTGAAATATGACATAATTTAACTGCAGAAAGCAAGACATAGGAAGCCAAGGTATATATTCAAGTTATTAAACAGCTATTTGTATCCATACAGTTTATATTCATCAGTCAATTACTGAGCGTGTGATTTTGGTTTACATTAAACATTACATGAAATAGAATGTTCAAATAGATATATCCTATTCTTCATTATGTGCGTCGGTAGCACAGAGGTTAGGACGCTCGCCGACCATGCACATGGTCCGGAGTTCGATCCCCGGCCACAGACGCACTCCTTTACCTTGCTAAGCCAAAAATAATGCTGGTAAAGAGGAAAGGTTGTGCGGCATGAGGCTAGCAACCCCATCCTATGAAAATAAACACCACAGCTACAGAAACTTCAAGCCTCTAGCTTGAAGGTGCCGCCCTATGTTCCACTGGCAAGGTGAGGGAATACAAATAAATTCTCCATTATAGATAAGATTTTATTTTGATAAATCACAAACTATTGCTCATAATCATAGTTTGTGCTCGAAACTTAGTCACATCAGTTAATATTACTGTATAACACACCGTGTGATTTATCAAAATAAAATCTTATCCATAATGGAGTTATACTCTACCACCACAGTGCCAAAGTTTTATGCATATAAGATATATCGTATTCTTTAGTTGAATTTTAGATTTTCCCGTCGATTGATTAAACCAAAGTGTTCGGTCTAAGGTTGGCATATCTGTCAGCTTTTTCTGATTACATGCACAGACATCGCCAAGGCATCTGCACAAGAAGCCGACATATCAACCTGAGACCGAGTACTTCGGTCCAATCTACCGACGGGAAAATCAAAAATTCAACCAATTGATTAATATGACCCGTTGTACAAGAGGTTGTTCTTGTGGCCCTAGTGGTCTAGTGTATATCGCTTTGGCTGGTGTTTGAAACTATGGGCACTGGGTCCGAGCCTCAGTGGGAACATCATCACTCACTGCGGAATGCATGTATATCCATTGGCTGAAGAGTCCCTAATTGGACGAAATGTGCTTTATCGTGGATTCCACTGCTCGTCACCATCGAACAATTAACCTCTATATCGTATTCCATTGCCAATGCTCTATTGAACTGTGAGAATAATTTCTCAGACGTTAACAGCAACGAATATAATGATTCTTACTGTGTGGGAATAATATTCCGTTGGAAGCCATTTTCTGTATCACAGCGCCACAATAAGACTAGGTTAGGAAAGGTTTTTGGTTTGGTCAAATCAAAACACAGCATTGATTCAGGAAGTTTTTGGTAGTAAGTAAGTGTGTGAGGTCTGATTGGTCGGAGTCCTCTAGACACTAAGAACCAATGGCTAGAGACTGTTAGTGATATCTTTGCCAGTATTATTATTATTATTATTCCCTTTAATTCCAAATTGAACTAAAGGTTCGGCAGCACATCTCCAGTTCACTCTGTTATCTGCAGTCCATCTTGGTTGGCTCCATAATTTCCTATAAGCTTTCATTTCATCCTCACATGATCTTGTCCGTACCACTTTCTGACACACATCCAAACTGTCATTTCCTATTATAGCTCTATTCAAG